CTTGTTTCATAAGAAGGCAGTGTATTTTGATGGGCAGTGTATTTACAGGTTTAAAAGGCCAGAGGAGCAGGTTGAGTGGCATGACACGGGCTGCTGTTGTGGACGCTGAAGGTTGCAGGGTGAAAGCAGCAGCGCTGACAGACCCATTAGCAGCAACAGCTCTGCTGACACAGTCCTGCCTAACAGCTCTGAGTGAATTACAGTGAGCAGCCCCCCCTTATCCGAGCACAGGCCTGGTTAAAGTTGCGGGGGGCTTTCTCTTTCTCCTGTGTGCAATAAAAGCTGATTAGAGTTGAAACAGTTGGCCGGTCCTCTCCTCCTTCACAGCTGCTGGATTAGAGGCTGAAGCCTGTCATCTGTGAAATGAAATTTTGGATGGTCGAGCGGGAAGAGTCCACATGGGGTGAGGGGGTGGGGGTATGGGGGGTTGTGTGTGTGCATGTGTGTTAGCGTGTGTGTTGGGGTGGGGGAGGTCTGAGGCCTGCAGGATGGCAGATTAAAAGGTCAAAGGTTCATTGAAGGTATATTGCATTCAGGATATTTCTGATAATGTCATGTTTTCAGTCATTAATATAGCCACGCTTCTGGTATAGTGATTGATATCTCACTGATGTTTTTATTACATATTTTTTACATTTTGTTTTAAATAAGACTGCACAACATCACTTGTTAATCAATGTTACCAATATTTCCACTAGATCTTTGTGCAGGGTGGGTTTCAGACCCTTCTTGCATACATAATACCAAATGTGCAAGGCCAGAGCAGGACAATCACCTATCATATTATAATTATTATTTTAAAACAATACAATGGGCATACTATTCATGTGAATACACCAAGTTTTACGTTCCTTATACAACTGTTTTCAAGAAGTGATATCATCACTGATAGGTTCATGTAATAGTTTGCACATATTTCTTTGAAATATATATGATTTTAATAAAACATAATAAATCATAGTTTCATAAACCAACTTAAACCAAAGCTAAATACCATTTGGACTGTCAGGCCCAAGCCATTAGGGTATTAAAATGCTATGGAATTGGAAGGTGACTGCTAATGTCAAAAAAAAACTAAAAAGATAAGGATTATAGGACCATAAAAACACAATTAAAAGATAAAAATACAGAAAAATAATCACAGGTCAACCCATCACACATAACCTCACCCACAAAGGCTCAACTAAGACAAAAGCTCAGCAGGTGAGAGAGAGAGCAAGAGAGAGAGAGAGAGAGAGAGAGAGAGAGCGCGAGCGAGAGAGAGAGAGAGAGAGAGAGAGAGAGAGAGAGCATCCACAGGTGTCTTCCTCATCTAACTCAGACTTGGTCAAAGTAGTTATATGCAAATTATATGTAAACTAGACAACATACAAATACAAATGCTGATTCATCATTACAAATCAAAATTATTATAGCGCAGACCTGTACGGACTCAGAAACAAACTGAACAGTGTCATTGGTGAGGTTCAGTCAACAAAATTAGTGTCCCTCATGTGCATCCTAATGACATCAACAGGAGCTGCTCTCAGTCAGGCTCAAGTCCTCGAAGGTCCATAAATGGTCACCTTTGACACAGTTCTACAATGATGAAAATATCCAGTTCCATCTCCTGTACCACAGGCCATCGCCATGTCTGGCAGCATAGACTGGAGATGGGCTTTAACAAGTCCTTATCTCATGGCACAGTGTCCTTCTCGAGGAACATACCACAGGCCTCACAGAGACACAAAGGCCAAAGAACTGTATTCCTATGTGTAAGAAATATATTAATTAAAAAGACATTCTACATTAAAGAGATGCAAATTTGATCACATGAATTATCTATATCCCTTTTTTTTTGGTTCTGTCAATAAAATGACAAAGATGAAACACTATGCTTGACTTTTATTATCCTCTGTTCAGGGGTACAACACTAATTCCTCTCAGAGGTCCACAGTTTAGGTGAGTTTTATGTACCAAAAATGATCGTAATTCATGTTTACACGACTCTTCATCTCTTATGATTAAACTGCCTGTTGTTGTTACTGTGTCTCTAGTACTGATATAAGAAAAGGTGCTTGTTTCTGATTGGCTGGCGTGCACTGTGCCTCATTGGATATAGCTAAATGTGATGGTTTATGTGATATCACAAAAATCATGAATTTAAAACTGTTTTTGCAGCTTATTTTCCATATTTGGACTGTATGGACTGGGGTGTGAATGACTCAATCTTTGACAGTGTTTACATACTGCATCAAGCTCTTTTATTTAAGAATAAATAGTGAGGGAAATTCAGTTTTCCATCATACATGCCTTTTAATATATTGCAAGGCATATTACAATCACAATATGTAGCAATATGATCACAGTATTTTTATGCAGCCCTAGCTCTGAGGTACAGGCCTAAAGGGAGGCTCTCATGGCTACACCATATTCAGCACACGTTGCAGAGCTGGTGAACTTGTGAACTTCCCTGTATCTTGATTGAACGTGCCCTAAGCAGAAATCCTTTCAAAGCAGAGAAAAGCCCCCGACCTCAACCCCCCACCCTTACCGTCTGATCCTGCATCACGGTAAGACACATAGCCAGTGTTGAGGCTTTAGGTCTGTGGGTCACGCAGGTCGGCGAGAAGGCTCACAGTACAGCACCGCAGGGGATTCACATCTAAAATAGATACAGAGAAAAGGAGGCACAGGTCATACCGTTCAGAGCTATGCTGTCTCTGTGATATATATGAACCGCTCTAGACCGTTCTAACAGCAAGTTCTGTTTTCAAAATTCAGAGGAGGTTTCTAAAAGGTTTCTAAAAGCATCCTTAAGTTAAATTTAATCAGAAGCAGAATCAGACTTTATACACATTCACGCATACGGCGATGAGCCCCGCACAGATTAAGTGCACTATTGTTTGTGAATAGTTGAAGTGAATAGCTTATAATCTTGTAGCAATGACACATGTCAAGGTCTGAAATATATTAGATGGTAAACAAACAGTTGGTTCTAGTAGTCGACATCCCTTACAAAAAAAAAGTATACTGAAAGGTCATTTTATTAAGTAAACTTAAGTAAAATTCAAGTATATTTTCCCAAGTACACCTTATGTAGTAAGTATACTGATATCAATATACTGGTACTATGCTTGTAAGTGTACTATTTCAATAGTTCTTAGGACTAAATTGGCCCACTTTTTAGTTTACAAAAGTATACTTTTAAGTATTCTTTTGCTGTAAAAGAAGTAAACTTTTGGTACACAGCCAGTTTACATACAAGCTTTATTTTGCACTGCAACTATACCATGAACTATAATACAAGTGAACTTATAAATATACTGTTCATTTACTAGTTATATACTTCTAGTTAATACTTTTAGTTAATGAAATAGAACTCAGTAAACTACTAGTTTAAGAATACTTGTAAGTTTTCTTTAAATGTACTTAATGCAATAAGGCTTACTACTTATATATTATTTTGTACTTTAAAGTAAACTACTAGGTTTCTATTTAGGTAGTTTTTATACTTGAAATATGCCTTTAACAGTACTTTAAGTAGACTTTAACTTAAGCTAACTAATATGAACACAACCAGTGGACTACACATTATAGAAGTTCACAAGACGTTCTCAGGGTTAGGAACGTCTTTGTTTTCTTTATAAATCAAAACTTTCAAATATTGTGTTTGACGACACAACACACAGCATCACACCCTGCTGCATACAGTGGTCAGAATGCCCATGATGACCCCTGTCCACTGTTGAAACTGCCTACAATGGGCACGAGTGTCAAAACTGGACCTTGGAGGAATGGAAGAAGATTGCCTGGTCTGATGAGTCCAGTTTTCTTTTACAGGATGTGGGTGACCAGGTACTTGTGCACTGCTCACTTGGGGAAGTGATGGGACCAGGATGCACTGTAGAAAGAAGACAAGCTGGTGGAAGGAGTTCTTCTCTGGGCAACGTTCTGCTGGGAAACTCTGCGTCCGGGCCTATGTCATGTGGATGTCAATTTGACACATGCCACCCACCTAAACATCGCTGCAGACCTGGTAGACCCCTTCATGGCAGTGGCCTCTTTCAGTAGGATAATGACCACACTGCCATACTGCACACATTGTTCTGGAAAGGTTCGAGAAACATGATGAAGAGTTCAAGGTGTTCCCTGGCCTTCGAATTCCCCAGGTCTCCATTTGATTGAGCATCTGTAGGATGTGCTGGAACAACTCGCGACCCGCGTTAGCTCCACCTCACAACTTACAGGATTTAAAGGATTTGCTGCTAACGCCTTGGTGCCAGACATGACAGGACACCTGTAGGGGTCTTGTAGAGCCCATGTCTTGGTGGGTCAAAGCTGTTTTGGCAGAATGCGGAGGACCAACAGCATATTAGGCATGTAAAATGAAATGGAAAAAAAAAGAAAATGAACCTTTTTTGCCAACTATGTCTGAACACATTGGAATTAGACCTCTGCATTTAACCCATCCGTGCAGTGAAACACCACATACACACTAGTGAACACACACTAGGGGGCAGTGAGAACACTTGCCCGGAGCGGTGGGCAGCCCTATCCACGGCGCCCGGGGAGCAGTTGGGGGTTAGGTGCCTTGCTCAAGGGCACTTCAGTCACGTACTGTCAGCTGAGGGGATCGAACCGGTGACCTTCGGTCACAAGGCTGGTTCCCTAACCTCCAGCCCACGACTGCCCCCTGCCATGTCTGCCATGTAGTCATGTTTTGGCTCATCTGTGTGAATGCATTAGTCAGTAAAAAAGTACAGTGCAGAGTACAGCAGCTGGATAAGAGGCCACAATACTGTATGAAACAAAATAAATACTTAAATACTTTACTAAATTACTTTTAAAGACTTTAAATTGATTTTCTACCTTTCAGAAACACACTACAAATACAGACATGTAATTTCAGAAACACTGCAAAGCCAGTCACAGCCAAGACTACAAAGTACACATTTAGACAACAAAAACAATATTAATAAAAAATAAAAGTAACACTAGAATACAAACCACAAGAATCATACAAGCCTGATGTTTTATTCCATTCATTTATGCCTCTACACCTAACAAAGAAGTAATAACAATAATAATAATAACTTGGTTATTCCCTTTACAAGAGTAGAATAAGAATGCTCTTCATGTTATATTCAAGTATTTATCTATAGAAAAGAAAAACAAAAAATACAAAAGAATATTAAGTAACAAACATTAAGCAAATACCAAAACACCATTATTGTTCCCATTGACACCATGACATTCACTACCACTTGTAGCGTTATATTAGAAATAAAAGGCACAAGGAGTAATAGAACATGCAGCCCATGACATCACTTACAAGATTTCAGCTATGTGCAGTACATACTGGGTTAAATGTAGTAGCCGTACTTATTTTGATTATTTTCCAGTGCAACTATTTGCAATTATTGGGCACAGCTTAAAAATAAAAAACAAAAAGAAAAGAAAATCCTTCTATCTACATTATTTTGAGTGTATTTTTGAGATTGCATAGCCAGGATGCACTGATTCATTCATAACCAGGAGTGTGCTGATTCATATGTAAGAAAATCAAAGTGCTTTGATTGAAAGGGAGGAAACTTCAGAGTCTTTCAGCATGTGATATACATTCATCCATGCAGTAGTGTCTGCTGTGAGACACATCCAGTCTGAGAAGATCCCTGAACTTTGGGCCCACTAAAGACAAGCATACAAAAGTAGTTTATAGGCTTACATAAGTTTATAAGACAAAGATTAAACCCTTCTCTGAGCAACCACAGCAGTCGCATTCATTTGTATTGATCCCTTGACAGAAAAGCGCTGTTCAAGTGACAGATTGTCCAAAACATTACAAATCATCTGAAAAGGTCACTTCATTTTTATATTTGTAGTAATGTAAAAAGTGGAATACAATCTAAAGTGTTATTGATATTCGCACCCCAAGTTTGAAGTGGGAAATAAATGCAAGTATATGTAAACTTCAATTTATCGGTTATAAAGTATCACAGTTGTCTGCAAGAAGTTTGAATACCCCGGTCAAATTTATGTTTTGTAAAAATAGCTCATTCTCTACAGGATCCAAACTTAAATGTGGTATTTTTTGGCACATTTCAGTGCAAAATTTGTGTTTATTTAGTTAGTTACCCCCCCCCCAATATGTTAAATCCAGAACATGGACAGACAGTATTTATGCATTAAAATGGGCAGAAGTGTGTTCTCTGAAGGATGTGTGAGCTTATTTTCACTTAGAAAAGCAACAAAACACTGACCAGGGCAGCCAAACTTTTGCATACGACTGTACAAGTTAATGCTCAAAATGTGATTCATTGTACAAAGTACCATATAGATACCCTGGCCATAAACAGACATCAACCACCGAAGCCTAGTCCTTGTTTTGGGTAAAAAAATCCATGGTACCCATCGGCAGGTATGGCTAATGCAAAGACCGCAGGGGTGTAAAAATGAGGAGCGCTGAGCTTTGGGTTGATCAGTAGAGGTCGCTGAGGCCTGCAGTTTTCCTGGCTTTCTGCATCAGAGCTCGCAGCTGGAACTGTTTGCGAGAGAGGAGCCTCACATGCTGCAAAATAAAAACAGACACAAAACTTATAAACTGCAGGGCTGCGTGTCAGTCTCAAAAAGAGCACAGCAACAGGACTGACCTTGAGGAAGACATCCAAGTCTATGACGCCTCTGCGCAGAGCCTCCCCCAGGTAGAAGATGGTGTCCTCTATGGCGTTTTCCTCAGCGTACAGGTTCAGGATCTGCCTGTAGAGCGGTGCTGTGGGCACGATCAGGTCATCAATATCGTTATTCTCAGACTGGTTCTCCATTTTGTCTAGAGCAGCCGTCAGTTCCTCATCCTTCTGCTTCAGAAGCTCGATGTTTTTGTCCACGTCGGCCTGAGAGGAAAGAGCAGAGTAGGAAATGTCACAACATATCCAGATGCAAAGCGTATAAACCTTTAAAAATTCTCTAAACTCATCAGCAAATAGCTGTCAAAAAAAAATTAACTATTATGCTGGTTCTTATGGCAAAAATGAAGTTAGTTTACAGGAGAATATCATCGCCAAGCAACTACTGATCACTGAACGAGGAAAAGAACTGCCAGTCACCAATCTTACTATAGTGCAGACATTTCATAAACCAAATCTTTGTGTTTTCACAGATAGCTGCACAATTTAGGTAAGACTTGCTGGGTGCCAATTAACACTACAGTAAAATGATTACTTGGACTACATTAGTGAAACAATACTGAACTCTGACATTCTCAGGGACTGTTACGCAGCCATGACTTTCTGTTATACACTCATCACTTTAACTGCTCCACAAGCTCATTCTAATTGCACTACTGTTTATAATTGCACTATTTATACCCACAGACCTTAATCTGTATGTGGCTTATGTCACTTTATTGTTATTGTCAGGGACCTTCTTATATTTATATTATTTTTATTTATTATTCTATTCTTCTACAATTAACGTTTATTTTTACGATTAGTGTTTAGTGTTTATTTAGTGTCTATTTAATTCACACATTTCCTGTTTACCGTCTATTTAATGTTACTGCTACACCATGGGGTCTGAGAGTAACGCAATTTCAATACTCTGTATGTCCTGTACATACTGTAGTACTGACAATAAAGCTGACTTGACTTGACCATTTTATAGTGTTATGAATACACTATACTTTCATATTGCTGTAACATGTGCAGTAGACACTTGGTTGTAAATGGGCCATTTCTGCCAACACCAGAAAAATAGCAGCAGCTGGTAAAGCAGAATGTTCCTGTGATAGTTACGTTTTCAATGCTAGAGAAGAAACACATCTTAGTAGAGGGAGTGTATTTTGTACGTGGTTTTGGTGGCATGTCATTTGTGACAAGCAGCAGAAAATGGGGCACTTGTCGCTAGCTCACATTTTATGTGCCAGAGTTTATACAACAAGCGACAACGACCAACACCGTAGAAACACAGGCACTATAGATATAACTGTTTTATCACCCACCTTAAAACAGCTCCAGACTGTTGAAATTTAGACTATATTGCTACGGTCTAAAAATGTCCCTCGCTGTAGCAGATTGTGGAAAATGCACCTCTACGATGGTGAAGTAAACAACATGCACAAATAAAATAATAGATGGATCCAGCTTAGATTATACCTGATCCATTTAAATATGCCTGGACTTCCCTAAACTTCATGTCTCTACTGCAAAAAAAAGCATTTCATGACCTTAAATTTTTTACATTTTGAGATGACTTTTCAAGAATCCACAGGAAGCCTGGTCACCCTATAAGGAGCTTATTGTATCGAATTACCAATATAATGATAATGCCAGTGCTCAGATGTGATCGCCTGTGCTTATAAGCTATACGCATCAAACTAACACATAATGGGTTTAATACTACTTACTGAAAACAGACATTTGAGGCTTGCAAGACATTCACGTAACATATTATTTCTGTCCTATGCCGTTTTATAGTGAATCCTTCGGTAAATTCTATAATTAAAAGCTGAACAAAGAATATTAATACTTGAGCCTAGTAGATATCTGCTGAGTTGACCAGCCTAGTTCTGGCTCTTAAGAAAATAATTTTCAACAAAACCTGGTTTAGATTTCTTAAAATCTTGAGCAAAATGCAATCTTTACCAAGCTGACATGTCAAGCATTTGATCCACATCACCAGTCATGTGATAATCATTATATGCAGGAATATTACCATGATATTTTTCTCCACATCATGACTCAAGATGAATAAGTTCTGCTTTCTTATTTGGGCTCTAAGAACAGAAATGGCTCCCCAGATATTTCATTTCAGGGAAAAAAAACCAAAACAAAACAAACCAAACAGAAAAAGAAATCCGTACTGTCTCTTGATCTAGTTTGGTCACCATCTCCTCCAGCTTTTGGTGTCCCTTCTTCAGGTCCTCCTCTGTTCTTTTCAGAGCGTCCAGTTCAGCCTGAGCTCGGTCCATCTCCTCCTTCATCCTCCAGCGCAGCTTATCGCTCACCGCAGACACCAGAGACGCTCGGATAGTGTCCTCTCCGATCGTGGCATCACGAGAGGGACCTGGGTGACAGAAAAATAAGTTTTATTTTAAAAGCAAAATTTCTGATAAGCCATGCTGAAACCTGCCATCATGGCTGAACAAAAGAGAGTAAGAAATACATGAAGAGTCTGAACCTAACAAAACAGTTACCAACTGCACTGTATGACTGACTTTATGCACTACCGGTGGGTGACAAGAGTACAATGATTTCAATATGTCCCTCTATCTCTTCCGACGGTCTGTCACTTATCGTCTTTCATAGAAACCACAGTCAATGATCAAAACAAGGCATCTAGGTGCAACCTATCAGAGTATATTGGGCAGGGAGATGCGGGGCTTATGCTATTCCCAAACCCACCTGTAAATGAACAGCTTTATAAATACATCAACTATAAATTCTTGGGTTTATTTAAAGGCATTGAAAAAGTTAAATGAGAGAACTTTAATTCACTTGAGACAAACCAATTAGTGCAGCACAGAATCATTTTCAACAAAATATCAAAAATTGTACTGAACCTGAAAATGTGCACTGCTATTTATATAAGCTGTGTGCATGGTGTAGACATTAACATATGAAAATTAACACATGAGCACAAGGCACTTATTCAGACCCTCCTTATTTCTGCAGTATCGGATAATATATTGTATCAAGACACTGCTGCATCACATTGAAGAAAATGCTGAATTGTGTGCATCACTACACCGCTAATGGAAAAATAACACTTCACGAGACACAATATTTCAGTAGTTTGTAAACAAGTGGAAAAACAATATATACAATAATATGCATATAATTTTTTCAACATTTGCAAAAAAGAAACTATTTAAGAAGAAGAAAAAAAAAAAAGACAGTTGTTAAAATCAGAAGAAGATAACGGCATAATGGGCTGCCAACCCAATCAGCTTATCGGACAGATTTAGATTTGACCAATATTTCAAACCAATATTGGATGCCATATTTTTTGTACTCCCAATCAGCAGAACATTTAGGTGAATACGCTGAAATCTTTGCATTTTACTACATTTTTTTGTACCCCGATACCAATGAATGTTATATTTCTCTGTAATCCTAATCCAGGTGGACATAATTCCAGTTTCTAGATTTTTTAAATGTTTATGTATCGGCAGCAGCAGACATGTACATCGAAAATATCAGATATCAGCATCTGTCCACATTTCCTATATTGGTGCATCCCTAATTACCATACACTTCTTTGTGTTGTTTACAGTCTCTCTATACTTGATCTTAATCTTTTATGATCCCATGTTGTTGTTCGATGCTCTAGAAGTACTGATGATACTCATGATACACTCTGAAAACCATGACGTATCATGAAGCAATTGATCACAAATGACATTGTCAAATTGTTCAACCTAATAAAGTTATTATTAACTTACCCCCAGTAGCGGTGGGGGTCACAGGTGTGTAGAGTGCTCCTCCTGATGTGGCTGGATATCCAGAACCTCCAGCAGGGTAAGGATAACCCTGGAAACCTCTAACACACAGAAAAAAAGCAGGAGGAATGTTGGAGACCATGAAAGTTTGTTTCTATAAAAACAAAGAATGATAGAAGAAGATAACATGAATGAAGGGATCATGAATGCTTAAAGCCCCTTACCCTGGGTTAGGAGTGTGGCTCTGACTAAATGAAGAGGCTGGTTGGTTTGCCATATAGGAAGCTACAGGAGAGAAAAAGTCACATTTTGCATTTTTTACAACTAATGTCAATCTGAACTATTGTGTAAGGAGAACTAACATTCTGTTCATTACTTTCATAGCATTAAAGGTTCCATATTATGGAAAAACAAGGTATTCCCTCATTATTTCACATGAGAAGAGTTTGATGCAGTATGTAAATATTGTTAAAATTTACAACCGTACTGTTCACCCCCCCCCCATACAGGCTATATATGGAAATGAAGCTTCAAAAACAGCCCATTTTGTATGCATTTACATATTTACAGCCTAAATAGTTTGGCATCGCCCATTTGCACTGAGGTTGTAAGGAGTGTTTCTGTGTGGTCTGTAACAAGGCAAAATACAAGGCAGCCAATCAAAACAGTGGACATTTACACATATCAGTCTTAAAGGCACACACAAAAATATCTTGTATACTAAAGAACAAAAAGAGACTGTAAACTTTTAAATCATACAAAAATGAATCTGCGGTACAAAAACACAAGTCATCAATGGATGTCAGGGGAGGAAAAGTGAAACACAAGAAAAACTGAGGATGTGGGCCTTGTAATAAACCTATTTCAAAATCAGCAGAAACTATATTCACATACATGCGGGTGGACCAGCAGGTTGATAAGACTGGTAAGGTGGCTGTGTGGTGGGCCGAGAAAAGACAGGCGGCTCTTCTCCAAACACCACGATCATCACCTGGATTAGCCCAAACAAATCTGACTGAGGCTAAACAAACAAACAAACAAATGATTAACTGGTCATGAGTTCCTGTAAAATGACTCCTTTATCGTTTATGAAAACAAAGCCAATTAACCCTCACTAACATGCTTCCATTCATGCAGGTACGGCAGGTAGATTTTTCCATTGGCATCAACGTGCTTCCCTATTTTGATCATCATGGTGCTGGTGGGCTTGACGAAGCAGATGGGGGGATTGTACGGATAGGTGTCCAGCATCCATAGGCAGATGGGAATGTTGTATACGTTTCCTAAAAAGAAACCAGAAAACATATAAAAACATAAAGTGTCAAAACTCCTAACAGTTACTAAAGACTTAACAGAAAAACATCTACAGCCTTCCAGGCTTACTTAATACAATGCAAGACCATCGCTGTTTAAGACAGACCGCGTTATTTGTGTGACAGTGTTGTATTGTGTGACTGTCAGTAAGTTAATGTCTTAATGAATTCCTTACATGATTGTTTCCTTACCTCTATAGTTTACAGGCACAGTTCCTGAAAGGCTCATGAGCTCTCTGGAGGAGCCATCGTTGAACACTGGAAAAGTATGGAAAGCTGTTTTAGCTTTTAATCCACAATTTTTGGTATTAGACATTTCAACAAGTAAAAATGTCATTAGCACAAATAAATACTGGGAGTTTGACAAGTTAAAGTCCAATTCTAACATGTAAGCATGTAAGATGTCCATTCTCACTAGTAAGAACTGTTCTCCCAACTCATCTTAACGGAAATCTTTTTCTTATTAGGTGTGTAATGATAGAGGCCACAATTCGATTCACAATACTGAGCTCACGATTCAATATTTTTACAATATTTTCAACAAAATTTGAATAAGGAAATAATGACTATACCTAAATTGTTGCATCTACTACTGAGACTACTAATAAGCTGTGAAGAGTGCCTAAATGAGGTGCTGTTTGGTGCTGGTTGTTTGCAAACTTTGGTGTTCAAACAATGCAACTGTATTAGATACTGTAATTAACAGAATGCTTATCACCACTGTTGCAACAAAATCTCATATCTCCACCAAGGAGAAGCAAAAAGCATTCGTAAATTTTAATGAAAGTTAATGTAAGAAGTCATTTTGGAGTATTTTTATTAGTCCATTCCTTCATTTTAACACATCGTAAAGAGCAGCTGGTAATTTCAAATTGTATAATAAAAAAGAAAAACAATAAAAATGGAGATACACAGTTTTGTTCTAACGGTGACACTTTTCTGCACGTTGCGATATCACGTTTCGATGCACTGTTGCACCTAAGGCTGGGCAATATGACAATATTTATGTTTAATGTGATACATTATGTCCCCATACACTTTTCTGACCGTATCACAGATATCACTAGTACTTAATAACACTTCCCAATTTCATGTTTGATTACAAAGACAGCATTATTAGTCCAGTTTTACTGGATTTAGTGCACTGCGGTGTGTGAAATTCTGAACATTTACTGATTCACTCCATCGTTAACATCAGGTCACTTCCAGTCAGCTGACCGATGTCTAGCTACAGGGCGTAGTGTTTACAGAGGTGGTTAAAGGACCCTAAACCAGAACTTAATCATATAAAATAATGGTTACCCACAGGTGGAACTTATGGAGGCCCGTTTCAGCCACTAAAGAAAAACATCCATTTATTAAGTCAAAATAATGACACAGTTTTCTTCATAATTATGACTTAATATCTCATAATAATTAGTATTTGATCTTTTTTTTCATAATTATGAGTAAGTAAATCATAGTATAGATATCATTAGTATTTAAAAACACTTCCCAACTTCATGTTTGATTACAAAGAGAGCTTTATTAGTGCTGTTTTACTGGATTTAGTTCATCACGGAATGTGAAATGAATATTAGGCTAACTGTTATATTCAGTTCTTGATAGTGTTTAGTAAACGTGGCACTATTTTGTCTTTTGAAATTCATCAGATGTCAGAAAAATATATAGATTGTGAATATACACATTTAATGCCATTCTTAACCTACATGTAAAAGGAAAACTTTCTACTCTAACATGTAAGAAAGAAATTTGCACATTTAGGTTAACAATTTAGCACTGACTAAAAGGATATAACTGGAACAAGTAATAACATGTCAAAATGTAATTTCACTCAGCAAGAGGCAAAATGCAAATGTATGGTTTAGTGGTTTTATCAGATGTACTTAACATTTTAACGAGGCTGAAATTGGCTTCCTATTCGAATTTCCCCGTTCCACCTTAAATGGTGCAGCAAATACATTCTGGCAGCAGAGGCGACAGAACGTAACTAATGCATCATTTAAGGTGGAACGGAAAAATTCGAATAAGAAGCGGAGTTCCGCCTTGGCTACCACTAAATCCTGAAACTCACCGTAGTTGTCCATCACAGGCTTCAGATCTTTGTAAGATGTGGTCACGTTAAGGATTTCCCGCACAGTCAGGTCTCTGTATTTATAAGCCTGAGCCACAAGACAGAAAACCGTTCAGTTTTAACATGTTAGTAAACAAGCCGCCTCGGACGCTGCCTGAATCTGAACGGTGCTAATGTTAGTTAGCTTCCCAGCTAACTTACCTTAGACAGCATTTTCCGGAGAGCACTTTCGGTCACAGCCATGATTTCGACAATTATCAGCTGGATATGTTTTCCTGAAGCGGTGCTTTCGGGGAGAATGAAGTTACTCCAGTCCGGTTTCTGTGGTTTTGTGAAAAAATAGGGTTTCTGGTTCGAACACCTACTGATTCACCCTCATCCTAAAGCGAAAGCACTAACGTTAGGTCACTTCCAGTCAGCTGACCGATGACCAGCTAGAGGGCGTTGTGTTTACAGAGTAAAGGAGTAAAGGAGCCCAAACCAGAACTCAATCACACAAAATCACGGTTTAACCACAGGTGGAACTTGTGGAGGCCCGTTTCAATCACTGGAGAAAACATACAGCCATTTAGTAAGTCAGTAATTATGACTTAGTATCTCAAAATTATGACACTACGCCTCATTATTATGACTTGATATCGCATATTACTGAGATTCTGTCTCATAACTACGAGCAGGTTTTTCATAAACATGACTTAATATCTCATAATAGTTACTATTTCATCCATTTTCTCATAAATATGGGAAAGTAAGTCATAATTATGAGATGCTAGCCATAATTATGACATATTAAGTCATTGTGAGATGCTAATTTATAATTATGAGATAGAATCTCATTATTACGAGATAGCAAGTCATAATTATGAGATGCTGGGTCATAATTATGGAAAACTTATTATTATGACTTCAACTTACTATAGTTGCAATATTTTAGCGTGATATAACTGGTTAACGTTGTTTTTTTACATCCCTTGCTGGTGTCCAGTGACACAGAAAAAACTTGGTGGTCAAGTGTCACTACGCCTCAGTCAACAGATTATGAGAAAATAAGAATTTTGCCTTTAAATGGTATTATGTGATGAATTGTGCCTAACATGCCCTGGGATTTGAACTAACAAAGTAAAAAAAGGTTATTTTTGATTTCAGGCCAACCTCAAGATCAGTGTATGAAATACAGGGCCACTGCTTGAAATGCTTTACAGCTCATGTTAATGAGTTAGAATCCTACCTGTGTGCGTAACATACCTGTGTAAAAGTCCCAAGAAAAGAAGGCTCTGGATTATTAAACACTTTTATCAGTCTTTCTCAACACACCATCAGTACTGCACAATGTAAGTTTGACACATCAGTTAAAGAACTAAACATTAACCTGCGCACACACAGACACAAAGTGAGATCGGTCAAACCTCTAAATTCATATCTCTGAGGCTTTTTTGCTGAAATAGCAGACTCAGTGTTGCTTCTTAGGAACCAACTGGCTGTGAGATTCCACAATAAAGGCATAACCAAACAAACAAGTTCATTTAGCAGCAAACGTCTTACAGAAACCGGTCTCTGATATTAGACAGCAAGCTTCTTGTTACAAAGCTGTGAATTTCCAGTGAGAACCAAAGGAGCTCTTTTTCACCAATGCATTCAGAAAGTTCAAAAATTAGTTCTATTGCAGTTTTAACATCACTTTAATTATAAATCGCCCCATAACTAGAGAGTAATAGTTTTTAAATCACAACTAAATGTGGTGATTCATGTCTTGGTACAGAAGAATCTGTAAGAAAGCGCATTCATTTTCCAAGCTAAATGCCCCCACAAGTGCCTTTAGCAAATCCCATCAAAGTATCATCACAAGTCATTCATAGCATTAATCATTTAAGACCATGGAGTTACATTCAACAATGAGATAGTTAAGGACACTGTGAATCATGGAAAGACCAAAAGTAACATTTTTTTAAAGACTAAAAACTCATAGCCTAACTCGTACTCACATCAGGGGACCTGTCAGATAGACATATTAACTATGTGCCGCACAGTGTAATTACTAGGGCTGGGTATTCGATTCAATCTTTTTCCCAAAAACAATATTTTTTTTTAATCCAATACCTTGATTTCAATTCTGATTCCTTATAATTTAATTTAAAGGGCCCATGTCATAGAACACCAAATGTGCCTCGCTTTTTTTTTAAACAAGAGAGCCTGATCTAGTTTGTCATATTTGTTAAAATATAGAAACAAAACTACAAAAACAGCCTGTTTTGAATTAATTTTGTGATATAATGAAAATGAACATACATACACGAACCTGCCTGTTCAGCCTACAGCAGTTTAGCCCCACCCACTCACACTTAAGTTATATAGTGTTTCAGTCCGGGCTCCTTTTTGAACTACCCACAATACAGGGCAGCCAATCAAAAGAGAGCTCATTTACATATAGAAGTCTTAAAGGCACAGTAACAACAAACAGCATGTTTAATTGTAAGAAAAAACAAGAGATTGGAAAATGGTCATGATAAGATAAGTGATGACCTCAAGGTAAGAAGTAAAATACAAGAAAAATGCAAGATATAGGCCCACTGAAAGAGGGTGTGGCTTCAACCAGAAATAAGTGTGAGACGATGGAAGTGGGTATATTTAAGCACTGCAGACTAACCAAGAAGCACTGATGTTATGAATATGCATACAGAACGGAATCATCAGTGAGCGTGCTTATTGGCTCATTGATGTAAAGAATGACTACTAAGGTACTGGAATTTGGTACTGAAGGAGTTGTTCGGAACTCATTGTATTGGAGTAACTGGGTGGGGGGCGTAAAAGTATTCAATTTCGATACCCAGCACTAATAACGACAAACTCAGCACTAGCCAAGCTCACTAATAGAGACGGCAAACGCACATATTGCTACGTTTCAGCAAGTGTGGTCGTGCAGCACTTTTGCTGTTAGAAGGCCTGTGTTGCTGCACCAGAAGCTGGCAATTGCAGCAATCCATGACAGGAGACGGGGGACTATTTTATGGTAATTTATGACATTTATCACTGGTAAACCACTTAAAAGTAAGAAAAGCATTCAGGACTGAAGAAGCATTAACTGCTACTCATTACTGCAATTTCAAGGCAACGTTGCTAATGAGCGTGTTAACAGTTACTGCTGTGTCACTAAGCAGTCAGTTCTCGTTTTCAGTTATAGGAGGACAAAAATAAGAGATGCACCATTTCAATACCCCACCAGCGCTCGCTTGAACCCTTAACACTTCATCCTCATTTCCGGATAATCGGAAAAAGAGTAAGGGAGGAGATTTGGTGGGACGACAGATGGGATGAGAAAAAAAAATATGACCACCTGAAGTCAACCGATTCACAATAACACAAGAGACTCCGAACCAAACCGCAATGTTTCAACCCTAGGCCCTGAGCAGAAATAAAGCACAGTGATGAGCAGAACTACAAGTGCTTTAGGCTTTTAAGGTTGCAATATGTGCAATTCAGGTAGAGCCTGCCTGCTGTCAAATAAAGTAATCTACAGGCACCACATTTCCACGTTCCAGAAAACCACACTTTATCACAAAGCAGACAAACCTTGTCAAACGTTTGTAGTTAGAACTGTACTAGCTTTTTTTCCTTTGACGTCTGTTGAGGCCCAGGGATAAAGAGGAAAAAAAAGGAACACATATGCAATGTGCCCAGCTGAAACACAGCCCTACGCCATGTGCAAATCAATGATATACCAGAGGTGTTTTCCCTTATCACTGTACCTTGTGATACATTACGAACTATTGCACTGGAGCTTATGAGAATTGCAGTATATCAATGAAGAGCCTCCTTTGTAAGAGAAGTCAGTAAATATGTACATTACATTGAGTTATGCTCCTCTCCACAAATGGCATACAAGTCATTTTTTCACATCTAGTCTAAGCATTATCATGTTTGCAAACCCATATAATGTAGAAATTCTACTCTCCTTTTTTGCGTTGGTCAAAAGTCCAAAGCTGATGAGGTGATATGCGAGGTTATTTCGTCAGCTATTATTTCCAGTTGAGAGTAGATAGTGTATTAGTGTAGATAACATATTTTTTTGTGTGTGGCAGTCCTTAACACAGTCCGAGCGAGCCCAGTGTTTAGACTAGTGTGTGAGGTAAATCTTCTTTTAGCTCCAGTAGAGGCCAGAGTCAGAGATGTTCCCTCAGCAGACAGATGTGGAATCTGAATCCACTTGTGCCGACGTTAAAGGTTTCCTTTTACATAGTCTGTCCCAACCTCTGACATCTGTGGAGGCATCGCAGTGTTGGAGCAACATAGCTCCAAAAGTCTGTTCCATCTGACACAAGTTACCTGGGACATGGAGAGGAGGTAGATGAGTAAACACAAAAACCCTTCATTTATTTCTTTAAATCTCTGTCATTTTGCAAAAATTTAACAGATTAAAGTCTAACCGGGGCCAGATAAATAGCTTAGCTCAATCTATGGCTTTGTTCACACAGCAGGTAAAGGTGGCCCAAATACGATCTTTTTCTTCATATGTGACACAGATGTGTCATCTGTGTGGCAGTTTGAGCAGCAAAAAATACATTAAATCTGACATTTTTAATTCCGATTTGAGACGCTTTCATATGTTGTACTGAAATCCGGAAAGACTCAGTCTGAACAGCCAGATCGGAATTTATGCGACTTTTACGTCAATCTAACTCCACATTCGTCATGATTTTGCGCTGCTGAGACTGCATAAACATTTACATTGTTGTTTCTGTACCAAAAAATTAGAAGGCACTTCACAACCGCTCCATGTTCGAAGAGATTTCTAACGAAATGGCCGAACGTGGCTGTAGGAGAACGAGACTGCAGCGTCAGAAAATTAAATGGAAAGAATCCAAGGACAAGAACCAAAGAAGTGACCGTGGCCGAATAACGTGCACTTTTTATGGCAAACTCAAACATATTCTGGGTGATGAGCCCAGCTGTCAACCTTCGGAACTAAACCCTTGGGGAGCGACTGGCATTCGTTGGCGCTCATGATTGTTTACCTCTGGATGACTGCGCTACGTGAAGCATTGTTCTTTTGTGCATGCGGGTCAGTTTAGGAGCTGATCTGCTCAGACTAATGTTGCATACAGGTCACAGTTAAAAGATATTGTGAACAGCCAAACAGAAAAATCAAATTTGATGAGAAAATCAGATTTGGGCCACTTTTACCTGCTGTGTAAACGTAGCCTAACTCTGGACTTTCTGTCTCACAACAGTGGATCACCTTTTACCAGGATATATCTTGGTAACTTGGCAACTTGCGCTACTACCAAACAAAGTTGGGATTTCGGATCATAAACAGGTCTTGGACCAATTGGGGAGAGCTTGTGACACCTAGCAATGAACTTCTGAAAACTTTACAACTGAAAATCTAAGACCACTTACCTAGTCATGACACCACACAGCGGCAATTCATGCAGTCTTGGCCGTTGTCATCTGGCGGATTCAGCTTTCTCAATTTGTGCTGCCTGATTTCACGGACCAGTGTGTAAAAAGCATCCTCCACTCCCTAAACAGAAGACCAGTCCTCATTAGCATCTCCTAGCCCAGCACCTGATAAAGAATTCTGCAGACATGTTTCTATTGAAGGTGAGTTCAGCAAAGATGGGACAAGTAAGCATCATGCTGTATTACTTTTTGAGTGACAGAAGCCAAACAAATGTAGTTACCATGACATTACAAAGAACAACAAGGGTGCTTGTCATTCAGCTTTTGTTTTCACCACATCATTGTTTTGGGCGTGGTCATGATTTGATGATGCCTCTTCCAAAACGTCTACCACTTCATTTGCTTAGCTCACCCTACATTATTTCCTGTTACCACATATTTGTGCTACTTCAATGTTTCCCAGATCACAAACTAAGTAAGGCAGTAAACGTTTAAGAGGGAATTTGATATATTTATGGATAATTTAATTATTAAAATGTAAACTAAGTCAATCAGTGTGTTTTAATGTGAAAAGTGTTCAAGAGAAACTCGTTCACAGTGGTGTTGATGAGAACCAGACTTCTGAAGTTTTATGTCTCTAAAAGCTCCCTCACAGAAAGCTATTACACCAAATGTTACGGATGTGTTGCATGACATCTGAGACATTGCTTTATGTTCATTCTGAGAGAGTGTTTTGGCCTAAAACATAGATTTTTTAAATTAAATCATGGCAAAGGGGTACATGCAAAGCACTGTGAGGCAAAATATCTCTTTAAGATACATATTTTACCATCATCAATTTTATATATAAAAACTCGTGTAGGTTCACTGGCTGTATTGGATAGTAAATAAAAATGTAAATATATTTGTGTTGTAGACATTGCTCCTGGTTCCTATCACCACCACTGTAAAGAAATCTGAGTTTCTCTGCAGTGCACCATTTTATACCAGACCACTCTAAATTACTCTGTTTATATCTAACGATTGATTTATGCAGAAATTTTGAAAAATGGATGAAATTCCCTTTTTAAAAAGGTATCGATCAGTCAGTGCCATCTGCCTGCCATATGTATTGTGTAATACTGCTTCAGAAGCGTTCCTCACCTGTCTTGTCTTGGCAGAGGTTTCAATGTAGGGGATTCCATAACTTCGAGCCAGTTCCTGGGCTTGCCTTGTGTCCACTGTACGCGCTGGGAGGTCACATTTATTACCCACAAGCACCATGGGCACGTCATCAGAATCTTTCACTCTTTTGATCTGTTCCCTGTGAGTCCACACACCAACAAATCAATAAAGGAACTGTCACAAGCAAATTCATCACACCATTTACTCAAATAAATGAACAGGTGAACTATACTACACACTGACCTGTACTGATGGATATCTTCAAAAGACTTTGTGTTGTTGATGGCAAAGACACAGAGGAAGCCTTCTCCTGTCCTCATATATTGGTCCCTCATGGCACTGTACTCCTCCTGACCAGCTGTGTCCAGGATGTCCAACAAACATGTCTCCCCATCAATCACCACCTGCTTCCTATACGAGTCCTGAGGGGGGTAAAACAGATAGCAGGTACAGCACTGTTCTTTATTTATATAAATACATAAGCTTTTTCTAGCAACCGTACACTATTAGAAATAAAGGTTCTGTGCAGGGACATTTTTTTGTTCATCAAGGTACAAACAATGTTCCCTCAAAGGTACAACAGTGGTTTTAAGGTCCAATTGTGTACTTTAAGTTGTAAGTTTTTCAAGGTGAAAAGTACATATTTGTATCTTTTCATAAACACTTGTTTTAAAGCAAAACAATAAAGTAAAGAGACGAGACGGGGTGTGTGGAGTCAATACAACTTAGAAAATAACATTTCAGTGGATTATGGTACAGTTATGTGTAACTAAGTGTATATCTTTTTAAAGGGCCCATATCATGGAAAACCAAATTTCCCCCACTTTTTTTAATAAAAGAGTTTGAAGTAGTATGTAATGTTAAAACAGCATGTTAAAGTTTCAAAATGTTTCAACCACATATATATAAACAGTAACATAACTCAGGGAAAAAGAGGTTGGAAAACGCTCTATAAACGCTCTAAAATGCTTTATAAGTGAACACTAGGGGAAAATAAAATACAAGAAAAATGTAGGATACTGACCTTTTAAAACAAGAGGTATAATTTCAACTTTGCCATTTCTGATACTACAGACAGGTCTTTTAACAATTCTTACTTTCAAACAAATCCAAAACCAATACTTTATCTAGAAAAACAAAAAACTTTGTGCATCAATTTCTTTTTTCGTTTATTTCTTATTTTTATTCTTATTTCTCTATTTCTTTTGGTGTTTAAAGTGACATTACCAATGTAATTTTGCTCTAGTAGAATCAAATCATTTTCCCATTCCTAAAGAGTTGTGTTAAGCCTTACCTCAATAGTAGGATCATACTCATCAACGAAGTGGTTCTGGATCAGCTGAATGGTGAGTGCGCTTTTGCCCACACCACCAGCACCAACCACCACTAATTTGTACTCAGTCATCGTCACAGCCTTGGTAGAAAATGCTGAAATGCAGAGAATAAGACCGCAAGGAGGTCAGATGAGAATCATTTTTTCACAAAACAAGCCGAACCACATTAATAAAGCGTAGGATCTAGACGTTCCCACACCAGGAAGCAGTTGGCCGATACAAATCCTATTTATATCACTAAGAAACGATGACGGAATACCAGATGGCTGCAAGTTCAAATGTCCCTGCCCTCCATTACAACACACTCTACTTTCCTGCAACCAACTCTTCCTGAACAGCGCATAGCAACCAGTCACCTTGCCTTTTGTTGCCATGACAAATGAGGGAACCTTTTGTGGAGTGACGTACATGCAAGAGAAAAAAGGAAGCTATTTTGGCAGACAAGCAAAACTCTCCTACTGTCACTGACCGGGTTTTCCCTGTCAAAGCCTGCCAGGACCGCACTACACACTGCCAGACGAGTCTGGTCTGCTCTGTGGAAACCACCTGCATTCCAATAAGCCTGCCACTGCAGGGAATTAATTTCAATATTTGAAAATGATTTTAATGATTCAAAAATAATCTACAGCAAAACACTGTACTGTTCTGTTTTTAGTAGTTGTATTGGTTTTATTAAAAGGATGATCTTGTGGATGATGTGTTTTTCTCCAGCTCATTAAGTGAGTGCATACAGTACTAACTGAAGGGTTTCGTTCCATAATACATTATACAGCACTTTCAGCATTTTTGCAGGGAGTGGGTTTTAAACATAAAAATATAATAAAGAAATATAAATGATATGTTAATGCTCAATACCACCTGTATTAGAAAATTATACATCCGTTATACATCAGCTGTTATTCTTTTCAAAGACTCGTTACATCCAAAATTGTCACAATAGATTATAGATAATGCTGACAGTAAAATAAGGCTCCTCAATTAAACACCTTTATTTGGACCTAGACTGTGGATGGGGCAAAAAAAATATACTGACAGAAAGTGTAACAATTTTTAAACAGTATCCAAAAAAATGGAAAAATTAAAATTTGCCCTCCTGGCCCTCAACAGCGTACTGAAACTTAAAACTGTATCGCCAATACACCTCTCAGTCCATCCTGAGGGTCCCTCATTTACTTGTCTTTTACAGCTGTCAATCAAAACTAGGCATCTGGGTGCGTCCTATCCAGTGGCCAACCATGAATATTAGAGCCAGGCCTTCAGGTTTAGCCATAAGTGTCAAAACATGGTCAAAAATGAGGGAAAAAAATGCTTCTACGCATGTTTTTGCTAGCGCTTCTAAGGAACTGCAGTAGTATGTTAGCGTAAAGTAATGATGACACACACAACCACTTTTGGTTGTTCTAGATCCAATACTGACATCTGTAGCTTTTTGTTTTATTTGAAGCTTGTAACAGATGTTTAACATATATTTTACCTCGAAGCAGTTTTACAGAGACTCTTTTAGTAAAGAGTCCTGTAATTTAGCTGCTGTTGTTTTCTAACAACAGGCTGAAACCTGGTTAGACTACAGCTCGCGTTATCAGTGATGTATCTAGAACTTCCAGAAGGCCAAGAGTGATTTTTTTGGCCCCCTTTACAAAATTGGTTCCACTCAATGGAATTCAAATTGGTTGACTCCAGTCTCATTTCCTAATTATGTGGGTGGTTAATCTGACATTAGGCCTTCAGTCCTGCTTCACAAGGCCTAGTCCATAGGAGAACTCACTCAGAAACAAATCCTGATTGGGTTATTTTCTATTGGCCAGTTTAAGTATTTAACCTTTTTTTTAACCGCTTAATGAAATGAGAGTATTACTACAGCACTTGTAGAGAAGAGAAGAACTAGCATCATGATTACATTAAGTAAAAATGACCTAAAAATTACAGGCATGTACTTCTTATTCCACAGAAATCATTAGGCCTTGCCCTGTTAGATGAATCTGGTGATTCTGAGCGCACTAAAAGAATGTTCACAGACAACTCAGTCAAAACTTGGTGAAGGAAGTGTCTTTCCAGGATGTGAGTGAATTATCTATTGTCATTATATTTTCATCAGTGTAATGCTGATTTTGCATTTGAGGCCTAAACATGGAGCTGGACCTTCTTTTTGAGAAGGTCTCCAACCCGAGAAGAAGTGTGGAAATCTGACCCGACGCCTCTGACTTTTAAACCATGATTTCAGGCTTTTAGCGCAACTCACAGCAGTGCGTTCATATTTTACAGTGTTTTTTAATGCTAATTCTTTCAACTAACAAAAATCCTACATAATGCAGCTTAAACGCACAAAACACTGAAAATCGAATCCTCAGAATCAAAAATCATACTGATTCTGAAAAAATGTGAATCCCTAATAATCATAAATAGAATCTGCTCAGATGAAAAGCCGTGATGTTGAAAAATGTGCACACCTTTTTACTGAGAGGTCATCCATTCTCACTCTCTTAACAAGACATCTCTATCAAAAATTCCATTTGAAAACCTATTTTAGTCACTCCGGTTGAATCCAGCTCAGACCTACAGTTATTTCTTAACTGATCACTACGTTTTTACAGTTATTTCGCAACTGACCACTGCTTCCTAAATTTGGACAGGATGACCTGACAGCTGAATGAATGAATGAATGAATGAATGAATGAATGAACGAAACCAAGAAAGGAAATAAAAAAAAGGGCTTGTGAAGTGCATGATTAAATCAAATCTGCAGTTCTAACGCTGCAGCTCTTGCACTATACACTCTCAAAACATGGTTCTTCAAGGGTTCTTTGGTAAAGGGAACAGTTCTATTTAGAACCATGAGTCCTATATAGAACCAGTCCATGCTTAAATGGCTCCTTGCATGGTGAAATGCTTGAAATCCTACCAATAAAAGAACTCTTTTGGTGCTACACAGAACCATTTTCAAAAGGTTCTATATAGAACCATGTCCAACATATTCTCCAACAACCTGAAGAACCTTTTAAGCATGAAATAGAACTCATGGTTCTAAACAGAACCACCTACTAAAGAACCACCTTTTTTAAGAGTGCAGCACTGAATACACCATGTAAGTATTTATATATTTATTTCTAACGGGGCGTTACCCTCCAGTTGCACTCAGCACATCCAGAAGTGAAGCTCATTCAGCTCGTGAACAGGGCGCAGTTGGAGTTGAAAGTGCATCTGAGGGCAATCCTAACCGAATTTATAACTTTCTCCAAGCGAGAAGCTCCTTTATGGTGTGATTCAGCCTATAGATCAGCAGCCTTTGGGCTCCAGGCCGCAATGCATGACATCACTCTTATTGATCCCTCTGCTGGACGAATGTAAACAACGTGAACCAGCTCAGTCCACTGCAGCCCAGCTAAACCATGCAGTGAGTTTCAAAAGCTTCACCACAACCTGACCACTGGATTATATACAGAGCTGAAATAGAAGCGCATGACACAAAAAGAGAGAAAAATCCTACTCCAGTTTCTAATCTGGTGGCTGTGTTTTTTACAATAAAACAGAAAATAGTCGACATGCTAGTTTTAAATAATAGCTATGGCTCTTTAAGCTGTATGCATGTACAGATAACTGCAGCAAACTATCAGACAATATACCAAGCAGCAGCCAGTCAGTCTAAGCTGAGATTTAGCGGCGAAAACGACTCGGTTTTGTAGTTATAGGTTAAAAACATATATTAAAAATATGGCCTGAAAGAACAGAATGTACTATAGCTACATTTGTGTGTAATATTACATTTTAACCCAAGCGTGGACACGAGGCTGAAGTTGGCTTCCCATTTGCCAGCTTCTTGTTCGAATGTCCCCGTTCCACCTTAAATGGTGCAGCCAGGAATGTAACTGCTGCACCATTTAAGGTGGAACGGGAAAATTCGGATAAGAAGCTGACTTCAGCTTCGAAGTGTGGTCTACTTACAAAATACGATGGTGGTTGTGTTGCTTCCCCCCCGTCAAGGACAGAACAGATGGTCTTTTTTGGTTAACCCTGGACTGAGGTCGAATTAATAACGAGTCGACATCTTCCTGAACGTCGGCACGCACGACAGGAGACCGAAAAACGAAGATTTTCTTTTTCTTTTCCCGACTGAAAACGATTTCTGACGACCACCTTTGGTCTCTGACTGCTAGGCGACCAAGTCGAGTGTGTTTTTCTTTCCCACCCGTTTTCAGGACATTCCCGCCCTCCTGCGCTCGGATTGGCTAGTAGTTCATACACAAACAGATCGACGATTGGCAGACGGCTCGTGGGTTCGAACGGCTAGCCAATCCCAGAGCAGGAGGGCGGGACTTAAAGGTGACGCAAACAAGCAGCGGAGCTGCTGCAGCCCACACCCAAACCCTTACAACTTCAGCACATGCATTCAGTCCACAACAATACAACGCATTTAAATATGAAAGGATGACTTTATTTCACTTTAAACGTAATCTGATGTGTCTGGAGGCCGTTCAGAATAAAGAGGCTTATTATGGTATGGCAGGCTAGACCTTGCATTGAAGACTGAATCTGTAAGGTTCATCAAATCTCTTTTTTTCATTTGTCCAGGAGATGTATTTTCATCACAATACACAAGCAGAGCCATGGGTACCATCAGGCAAAGGTCACTGAGAGGCCAGCTTGAGAGAAAAGGTGTAAATCTTTTTTGATTCATACGCCCACAGCTTTACTCGCTCTGAATGATGAATATATCTATAATAAACGTGAATAGAAATGATTGACAACATTATTAAGCTGATTCCAGATACTGCATGTTGGTTTGTATTTGTGTATGTATACACAAACATTTTCAGTCTCATATGCTCAGTGTAAACATTGTATTTATCCTCGTGCGTGGGTGAATGTATACGTTTGAGTGAGTGTATGTCAATAAAGTGCACATATTACCATTCATTCAAAATGACCCAGTTGTATGTTATACAGCCTTCCAGTAGAGGGCGGCAGTCTTCAGGTTATGGACAGACAGGGACTCTACCTGTGGAAAAAAAGCCTGTTTTGTTCAGGGCAGTGGGTTCATCTTAGTGTGATTTAGTCTACTTTACTACATAGTTTCAAAGTCTCTTGTTGAAGTTTTGGGCACTTCTAACCAGCCCTGTGATCAAAAGCATTGTTTACTCTCAATATCAACGTCAACCTGCTAACGAAAATCAGCCATTTGGCTAAATCACATTTACGTTGTGAAATATTAACGTCAGGCCTGTTGGCCCTGTTAGAAAATAAAGGAAATTATAATTACACCACTTGAGCCACACAATCAGGATAACCTTCTTATAGTGTATTGATCAGGGCTGTTGCTGGTGTGGTATTAGCAATCGCTTAGGGCCCCTATAAGTCCCCAAGTGTGGAATGCTTTAAAATTTATTTTGTCAATTATTATATTAGCAGAATACTAGCAAAGATAGAATATGAAACTATCACTGATAGTTCAATAAATAAATAAATAAATAAATAAAACCTATTAAGCACATTTAAACACACTTTGTCTTTTTATTTCCATGCTATATAATGTGATTGGAGAGAGGGGGGCTCTAATATTCACTGAGAAGCACTCTTTAGTCCGGCATGCACCAGCAAGTCCTTTAAAATGCAGAGATATTATTGTTACTCCCTGGTCTCCATTTAAGGTGGGATGCAAGAATATGCCATCCCCCCAGGTTAAAAGAATGACAGATGGCAGCCCCTTAGAAAACTGCCATTTCCTCATTCTGTCCACCTTGGATTGTGTTAAGCGAAATAAGAAGTGTACTATCAGTGTTTTAATCCAATTCACAGTTGAGATTTATGTTCAAGTTTTGTTTTATGTGCAAAATGTATCAAAATCAATTAGAAAACTGATTGCACCATACAACCTAAAATAGGTTCTGATACCAGTGGGCTAAAGTGATTATACCATCTGATTTATACCATCTGTGCAAGCTAATCTAAAGGAAGAGAAATACCTGAAAAGGCTTGTAATAAATAACAGCTGTAGATATAATGAAGAAATTAAAAATACCCACAGTCCATCACCATCGTGTCCATCGTCCACCTTGATTTTTGTATTATTTTTTTCTTTCTTTCTTATTTTTTTACAGTTTGACTACTGTTTACTCCAATAAAGATTTTTTTTGTGGTATTAGCCACACAGCTGTGTCAGTCAGAATGTCCTACAGTGGTCACTGAGTGAAGTGAGAATCAGGAGAAAAAATAAATTAGTTAAACTGCGTTTCTGAGTCAATAATCTTTCCTCTCCATGTCTCCTTTTCTTCTGAAAGACTGCCCGGCTGTCACATGGTCCTTTGTGTGTCCACCATGTGAGCTTTCGATTGGCTGATCGGCTTGAAAAAGCATCCGTAACCAAGGCAACCGCGAGCGGCAGCTCCACTTCACTGGTCCGCAGAGGCCTTGGAGAAGCCGCACTGATCCACTCTCTCAGTCTGTCCGTCTCCGCTGCGTCTGTCTTCTTTTCCTCTCCCCCGGGGACGAGTCGAGTGTAAGAGAGGTGAGTCCATCCTGACTGTTTCTCTCTTTCCTCAAGGACACCGTCGCTCTCGGGCTCTCAGTGACTCGCGTGCAGCGCTGTCTTTACAAACGACACGTGACTCTTTCTGAGAACTGTGCCGGCGCTGTTGGGCTAACCGCTTTAGCTTCTGCTACAAAGTTTAGAGAAATCAGAAATTCAGCTGAAAAGGAAAATGTACGGAGCCTCTAAGGTGACATGGTGATTATTTTAAATTTGTTCTTTGAAAACTAACATACTGGGGCCATTACTATAGTGAGACCACGAGTTACTATATGGAGGCCAAGAATTACTATATTGAATACAAAATTGACTATATTGAGGCCACAATTCACTATACTGAGGCCACAGATTACTATATTGAGTACACAATTTACTATATTGAGGCCACGAGTTATAAGAAACTTAACTTATGGCCTCAATATAGTAAACTGTGGCCTCAATATAGTAATTATAGTAACATAGTTCATTCGTGGCCTCAGTATAGTAAATTGCCCTGTGATGGACTGGCGACCTGTCCAGGGGGTTTCCTGCCTTCCACCCAATGAGCGCTGGGATGGGCTCCAGCTCCCCCGCATCCCAACTAGCGGCTTAAGAGAAGAGTGAGTGAGTGAGTATAAATAAAATTGAGTAAATTGTAGCCTCAGTATGGTAATTTGTGGCCACGTCTTATTAAAAAATAATCATCTCATTAAGGGCTCCATAAAAATATGATTCATATTTGTAAACAAATGAAACATTTGAATAAAATAATTTTCAGTTATAACATCAAAATTATAGCTAATGCTAGCCTATAGGAACCTATAATGTTCACTAGTAACTACAGTGTTTGTATAGTAAAAGGGAGTATATGACTATTATTGTAATGTAATATTATAGTGCCCACTGTTTATTAAAGGGCCCCTATCCTCCTCTATAATGTGTTTTTTATGCACCAAAAATCAGTCATATTCATTTTTACACTAACATTTTCAAACCTCTCCTCAACTCTCAGAATGAATTAGGCTGTTTTGTTACTGTGCCTTTAAGACTGATACATGTAATTGACCTCTGTTCTGATTGGATGTCCTGTATTATGCCTTATTCAAATAGGAGTACAGGCTGAAACACTCCTTATAACTGTGGAGTGGAGCTGAACTGCAGTAGGTTGAGTAGGTGGACATAAGTAGTGAATGGTTTTTGTGATATCACAGAAACCATTAATGCAAAATGGGCTGTTTTAGCTGCTGAGACTGTAGAGTCTGGGGAGTAAATGTATGTTCTGAAATATTAGCAATGTTTATATGCTATATTACACTCTTTTATTTCTCTTAAGGAAGCGACAGTTTTCTGTGATATGGGCCTTAAAAGAATATAGTTATTAATATATATAAGTTACTATAAAATGCACGCTTTTGCTGTCTCCATTTTATCTTTCATTTGTTTTGCAGAATATAATGCCCTTTATAATGTGTTAAAATTTCATGGTGAATGGGTGTAAAATTACTTGGAAAAATTAGCATAAACTTCCATTCAACGTTAGAAATGTTTTTCCCTCCCCCTGAAAAAATGTATTTTTTGTATATTTTATATAATTTAGTAGATCATATTAATGAGTTTGATGGGAATCAGTAAGTAGGATGTCACTTAGGGCTCCAAAAGAAAAAGACCCTGACTTGTATGACTTATAATTTAGCACACTATTAACAATTTATGGCTTTTGCATTTTGTTACATGCAAAAAATGTTAGCTATAGTAACAGAAGTCTTACTTTTACATAAGCAAAGCTCCTTTTTAATTTATATACATCATGTAGGTGAAATGATTAGCTTCCACCATGGGCAGTTAGGCTGACCTGAACAGAGATAACACCCAGCTAATATGTGATGTTTATTGCACTCCCTCACCTTTAAAGTCAGTTGTGCTTTGCTTGTCTTGTTTTTTTTACATTTGACTTTTGTACGTTTGACATTTGGGTTGTTTATCATCCTCACTGTTAAATCCAGACAGACACCACTGCAAAGGTTTCGCTGCAGCCTGTGAGACAAGCGCAAGATGTTCCATTGTAGATATGAGTGGCAGTGAGTATGTCCGATAAAAGGCCCTGGCTGTGTAATGGAAATGAGGAACAAACGGCCAGCTATCTCAAAAGGTGTCCGTGTTGATACGGAGGACATGAGAGATTAATGACCCAAATGCAGCTCTTTGTAGAGAGTCTTTTTCTGCCATGTTTCCTGGCGTATCTGAGATTGTCATGCTTTAAAAAAAGACATTGTTATTTCTAGCATAAATTTCATAGCAAACTTTTTGCTCTTATCTCCAAATTCATGAGTAGCCCCTCTGAGGCAGTCTGCTGAATAACTATGAGTCTGTGGGTGTTTTGTGAATTGGGAGTTGACCCAGGGACTGTAGTCTTTTATTACTTAGTGCTTAATTTGGGTTATCAGAATGTGTGGGTGTTGCTCACATTTGCCTTTTGCTGAAGTGTTAAATTATATCTGTTTAAGGAACTAAGGAGGAGTCACTGTATGAAGCATTTGCTTCAGACGTTGCTTTCCGGAGCCTGACTCAGCTTTTAACATGAGTTATAGCATGTATATATGATTGAGTTATGTGTATATATTAAACAGCAAATTACATAGAAGCCCAACAAGTTAAAATATTATAAAAAAATCCAGTCT